CCCATTTCTAAATCGTTTGGACCTTCTCAGGGTCCACCTTGAGCCCATGCTTGCCCACCACATGCCTGAGAAACTTTACCTCTTGTTAAAAAATGTCACATTTGCTCTTTTTAGCATACAATTAGTGTTCTCTTAGTTTCTCAAACACCTTCGTCAAGTGTTTGGCATGCTCCTCTAGCGTCTTGCTATAGATCAAGATGTTGTCAATATAGACAACCACGAAATGATCTAGATAGGGTACAAAAATGTGGTTCATCAGTGCCAAGAATATTGTTGGTGCATTGCATAGCCTAAAGGGCATCACTAGAAACTTAGCTTCCATACGTTGTTTGACATGTTGTCTTCTCAACGTCTTCCTTTGCTACTCTGATCTGGTAGTATCTTGACCTTAGGTTGATCCTCAAGAAGTATTTCACCTTTCCTAACTTATCGAACAAGTCCTCAATCCTTGGTAAAGGGTATTGTTTTTACTTTGTCTATGTAGGGCTACCATGAACCGATTGAACCAATCCATCCCAAAGATTATGTCAAATCCCACTATGTCCAACATGGGGAAATCCATATCTACTTTCCATATCCCTATTTTGGCTCTTGCTTGTCGAAGTACCTTATCGGTACTTTGGCAACCTTGAATAAACTCTATAGTCCTTGGTTCACCCAACCGCTGCACTGTTAGTTTGGCTTGCTAGATATATTTGCAGCCACAAAATTATCCGAAGCACTTGTGTCAATAAGGATCTTAACAAAACTACCTTCGAGCTTCCCTTGAAGGGCTAGTACATGTCGCAAATGATTATTTACCAAAGTTGTTTGTGTAATAAGTAACTTTGAGTTCTGAATCACTTATCTCAATTTGAATTTCACCCGACTTAAAGGCCATATTGGCTTTTAGCTTCTTTAGGTATGGACATTCCCTTGAAAAGTGTCCAGCTTCACTGCAGTTAAAGCATACATTATTTCCCACGCTACTAGCAAACTTGACCTTTTTATCTGTAGGTTTTTCTCTTTTCACTTGACTCCCCCACATACTTACTCGTTGGCCACTAAATCTACCTTTCCGGCACTCCAAGGACTCATTCTTAGAAAAACTCTTCTTGAATTTCCCTTTGCCATATGCCCCCCTTGGTTTGGCCACTATGTTAAACGTGAACCTTGACTCTATCGTGTTCCCCTTTTGCAAGTTATCATTGAAATGCACCTTGATAGCTGCATCTAACGCTTCCTTGTAGTTGGTCGATTCCAACGCATCACCTCGCTGCGAGCCCAGGTTTGCAAGCTTGATATGAAGGCATGGAATGCATTTATATCACCCATATCCGTGACAAGTGTCCTCTTTGCCATAAACCCATTCACATACTCTTGAATGGGTCCGGTTTGCTTTAGCCTACTCAGCTCATCCTTTAGGTGCAGAGTAGTATTCAGAGGAATGTAAGTCATGTAGATCCTCACTTTCATCACTTCCTAAGTGGCCACCGGTCCTTCATTGGCTTCTATTGTTCTCCACCAAGACTTGGCATTATTTGCCAAGTATGGTTTTACATATGGGACCTTTTCCGAGCTCAGTAATTGCAACACTTGGAAATAATCCTCCATATCATAAAACTAATCCTCCACCACCTTATAATCATTCACTCCCTTGAAGACCGGTGAGGGCTTTGGTTTGTACTTGGGAACTACTTAAGGACTAATTTCACTTCAGTTTATTCAACCTTGTTTGGTTCCGCCTCAGTCCACACAAAGGGGTCCATGCCTTCTACGCTGCCAGCATTTGTAGTCTTTCACTTTTTCTTCCGCTTCTCGTCACATTTTAGGTTGCGTACGAGAGTCTCCAGCAGGGCATTGATCTGAGCCAATTATCCTTTTAGAACATCTAATCAAGCTTTGAACGACCGAACCTCACCACCGAACTCATGTTTGGAAGTTTCCTCACTGGAGTCTTCCTCATGCAAGGATTCCTCATCCATAGCCTTTTGTTCGACCGGAGGCTCCAGCTCTGGAGAAGATCCCATCTTCGCCTTGGTTCGTTTATGCCCTACCTTTGCCATCTCCAGTGTTACGAACACGGCTGGGATCCCGGCCGTGTTCACCGTGTTTCACGAACACGGCCATGGGTCGTGTTCCCACGGCCGTGTTCGTGAACAGTGGTCCGTGTTAGTAACACGGACCACTGTTCAGAATATTCTCGCGCGGAATATTCTGGTTTTAGGGCGCACGGCATCACACGACAATCCAGCCAGGGCGCACCATTTCAGGGCACAGCAGCAGCAATCCAAGGCAAACAAGCATGGCGCAGCAATCCAGCATACTGCGAAAGCATCCTTCTTCGCGAAATCATTCCTATAATAATATAATAAGAAATAGAATATAATTTTTAAATAACATATTCTTAGAATATTCAGTAGAATATTTGTGAGCCATCGTGGGCCGTGATTGTGTTCCGTGTTCGGGTTCCTGAAATCTGAGGCTCGTGTTCGTGTTCCGTGTTCGTGTTCGTAACTATGGCCATCTCCCAGCAATCCGCCTCTAGAATTGAGGAAAAGGCTCCAATACCAAATTGTAAGCCACAAATTTTTCTTTTCCAATTTGCCATTTTACCTCGTCTATCCGACCAACACTGCCTTAACCTTAGCTAAGTTCCCTCACCAAGGTTCTTGCCTATTGTAGCAGCTCCTACTTGGTTTTAGCTACTCACTACACGAGCAACAGAGAGTTAGCCATCCATCTATGGATTCCCAAATCTCTCTCAATCCCCATCCCTAGGTTAAACTGGATTTAAGGTTTGGTTACACTCTCTGCAGCACAAGCAACCAAACACACCAGCTCAGTCTTGGACTTGATCTCGAACTTGATCTTGGACTCGACCTTGAACTCGGTCTTGGACTTGATCTTGGACCCGACCTTGGACTCTATCTCGAACTCGATTTTGGACTTGGTCTCAGACCCGATCTCGGATTTCGGACTCGGTCTCGAACTTTGTCTCGAACTTGATCTTGAACTTGGTCTCATCTGATGAATTCTTTATCATTTTGGTTATGCTCTAAGGGATCCTTTAGCCTTTGACACCTCGGGGAGTTAGTTCCTTATAAAAGGGTTATAACATTCACTTGCTATGACTTGTTAGTTTATCTGTTAATACTTGGAGTAGATTGTTAGATGAAGAAGGTGTGTAGTTTAAGCATTGACATCACTAGCACTTGTGCTAGTGGAAATGGTATTGTTATGCTGAGTGATAAAGAACTTTCCTTAAAGCTTGAATTTTCATTACATTTTTCTTGTTAGTGTTTTGGCTTTACATTAAATCTTGAAAATGATTGAAGAAAAGTGTTATTGTAATGTGGATATTTGAAGGTATAGTCTTCATGATCAAGTCTTGGGTATTCATTTGCATTTTACAGATGTTGGATTTCAGAAATATAGGCAAGATATTCAATACTTAAACATACTATTAGGTCATGAGAATTTATATTGAGATGAATTTATGTGAGGTTGTTAATAGGAGGAAGCTGATTAAGTTTGATTGTTTATATTCCTAGAATGAGAGTCATTTTTTCTCTAGGATGGAAATTTTCATAGGTTTTTCTAATGGTTGATTTGTTAATCATTTTGCTCAAAAACCATTCTGTTTTCAAGCTAATAAAAACTAGTGAAGGGGTTGAAGTTAATTTTGGTTAGCTTAAATCTTAGTATATAGTTTGTATGATGCAACTCGAAAGGGATGCTGACTTTTAGGGCTAAGGCAATTGAGTTAAATAAATTCTAGAGTTGATGAAAAAAGTGGCCATACGCTTTTTTAGAAATGTGACCCTTATGCCTTTTTTCTATAACATTATACTAGGTGGCAGGTTGCACTTTGCATTTTGTTAAACTCTATGAGTGTAATAAGCTCTCACTAATCTTGACTTAGTTTTAGTAGCTTTGCACCTTGGTTGAGTGTGGTGATGTCCAACTTAGTTGTTTAAAGTTGAGATGTTAGTACCTATACTATACCTTTGTCTATGAGGAGATTATGTACCATTTGAGTTCATCTTATGGTTTTTACTTTAGTTTCAACTGAGTGTTGATCATGTATAACTAGCTTTTTCAAGGCATACTCAGAGCTATTGGCTAAACGTGTTGGTAGGCTTATTGCGGTTCGACTTGATTCGCGTGGTCATTTAGTCCATGTTTGTATATTTGGTACCTAGAATGTACCTTTTTGTTAAAAAAGTACATAACTTAATGACGTAAGTTTAGTGTTTGGGTTTTGTTAAAGGTAAGTTGAAGATGATTGTTGGTTACTTTGCAACTAATAACTGTTTGTAAATTTCATCAAAAACTATTGACACTTGCTTTGTTCGATGATGATTTAGGAATAATAGATTTGCTTTACAGGATAATGTTGTAAAGGATTATATCATTAAACTTGCATGGTTTTCCTATGTTGGCATATTGATTCCATCTTTGTCTATATCATTTAGTTGCATTTAGTTTGTGGTGTTAGATTACATTGAGTTTTGGACATGGTGAATCACCCCTTGATGATGTGTTATCTATAAGTAAGTTTTGTTGAAAGTTTAGTTTTGGATACTAAGTAAAGTATTTTTGACTTTAATTAGCTTGGTTGCTAAAGTGTTTAGAGTGGTGATTCACTCTTGTTTTCTTCTAGCTTTCTTTTAGTATTGATGACAATGAAGTGATGCCTTATTGTTGACATTGTTTATATTAAGATTCAAGTGAAATGAGATGTTTCTCCGAGGATTGATATTGAGTTTCATTAATTTTGATACAAATAGTGTTAATGCTTGAGTTGTAGCTTTTGAAAACTTGATGGATTTGAGTTGGGGATATATCGATCATTGATGATTTTTCTTATGCTTATTATGAAGTGAGTTATGTCTTGCTATAGAAAATGGATTCATGGAAGATCATTTGTGATCACTTATTGAGTATAGTTTTATTATGCTTGACTTTTGGATTAATGCAAATATGCCCTTCATTAGCTTTGTATTATGAAATTTAGCTTATGGATGTGTTGAGAAGGATATTATGGGTTGTACCATAATTTCTTTTTTAGCATTGAACTTAGTTCATGAGAGACTCGTGATCATTGTTAGGCAAGAATTATATATAAATTTCTTCAAACTTTTGGTTCTTTGAGTTGTATATTTAATGTTTCATTTGTTAGAAGTTATTAGGGAAAGCATTCTGGCATATTAGCTTCATTGTTGAAATTAGCCTTCATATATAGCAATCATTGGAGATGATTAACTATCATTTAGGATAGTTGATTATTTTTGTCAAAGGGTTTACTTGATTATTGTTAATCTAGAATGATTTATTGTTCTTCGGGATGGTGGATTCTCTCTTCAATGATGATTCTACATTTCTTTATTGATAGGATGATTAATGATTTTTCATGATAGTTTGTTGTTCTCTTTGATACCTTATGGCTTTTCACATTACTACATATTCTTTGTGGTTTACCTTGGATTAGTTTATTGGGTTTGAGAAATCAGTAGGATATTGCTAGCTCTTGCTTAAGAAATTTGAATTCCTTCGTATTGTTAATTAGGATCTATTCAGATTACCTAATGCGATAATTAGCATAAATGAGTGTTTCTTAGTATTGCAGCATTCATTCTATTATATTGATTATTGCTATAGTTGGTTTTAATAAATTGAATATTATTTCCATTGAGTAGCATTTTGCTTGCTAATTGATAATATTCTGTGTTCTTTGAGTTATCTTTCGTAAGTTATTTAGCATATTGTTTGTAGTTTTTGATAGTTAGATTCTATCATTGAGTGTTTTTGATGATACATTTACTATTAAATTTTGTTGGACGGTGAATCTTATGTTTTCTAATTATGATAATCTTGGTGGTTCGTATACTTTAATATTGGTTTATCAGATGATAACATACTTGGAATACTTTTGTGATTCATTGGTAATTAATTCTTTAAAATATCATTATCTTTGACTTTGATATTGTCCATTTATTAATCTTTGGGTTTGGGCTAATAAAGGCAGATTAGTTTTGACACTTTGGGTGCATGGTGAAATGTTTAGTCATAAGGTAGCTACTATTGATTGGTCACATCACCCACTTCTTTGTTGTTATTCCTTATTTCATTAAAAGGGCGTAACTGTGTAAATAATTCTAATTACTTGTTTACAATAGTTTATCTAAACCTTACTGACAGATTTGATTTCTTTGCTCAGGTGGAATGGGGCCTCTAGCTTCTCTCTCTATATCCCTGTAGATAGGGGTGTATCACACTTTTGTAAGGTGGGTGGTGAATCTTATGTTTTCCAATTATAATGATCTTGGTGGTTCCTATACTTTAATATTGGTTTATCGGATGATAACTTATTTGTAAGGGTGGCTAACTCTGTTGATCATTTCCTTGTCGGTGATGGCCGGAAAGTGTTTGAGTGTCTGAGAGGTTACCCTATCTCATTTTAATTGGTGCATTTCTCACAAAGTGTGAACATCATGAACTTTTTCTAGAGTTATTTCCTTGGTGGTGTTATAGACTAAAATATGTATTGACAAGGATGTCGATCTTCCTTAATGTCACAAATGTAACTTCAGATATCGAAAGTTACCTGTCGGCTAATCCTTTTAGATATTCTTTCCTTATTGCCACGACAGCAGGCTGGTTCTCTTTATCAACCCCTCTTGTTCAAGTATTGGTAAAATGGCTATACTTAACTAGATGGACATAAGGTAGGAACTCCTATGTGTTTCTAGCTGAGCATACTTGGCTTGGCTCTTAGTTCTCTTTTGCTCTATTTTATATTGGGTTAACAAGAACCCTCACGTATTGAGACTTGTCCCTCAATAACATTGGATAATAGCTTACCATGCCTACCAAACACCTTCACTATCATGCCTTTTATGTTAGTCTCATTTCAGTCCCAAATGTTATTTATGGAAAGTGCTAAATTGGCTCATTTGGCAAATCTACGGAATATAGAGATTGTCTTGAACACAATGGTGTTCGTCCTGTGTCGAAATTCGCAATCTAAAGACATTCCATATTTAGTAAATTTGGAGCTTGTCCCAAAGATTATCTCTTGGTACTAAGGGAGGCTTGGGGTGGAGGCCCAAAACATGTGTTTCTCAAGGGGAAGAGGGGGGGGGGTTCCAAAATATGTAGTAGAGATAGTGGGTAAATTGGGCATATCTAACCAATTTGAGGTATAGTTTAGCTCCCGCTTGTATGCCTATCCTTATTCAGCATCTGGCTTGGGTCTAAGACCAAACTTCACACTATGGTAGCTAATGGAGTACCCATATCTTTGCATTAGACCACTGGTATATTGAAATAACACTAAATTTTATTTGGCTCCGTTTTGCATATTGGTCTTAGCATTGGAATGCTAGATGCTTTAAGACTGTTCCAAGTCACTTCGTGCTTTTGTTCCGTCACTCCTTGAATTATATGCTCAAGAGTTGCTTTGTGGTTTAATTCTGTCACTCCTTAGCTCTATGTTTAAAAGTTTGGCTCCGTACCTTTGTTTAATGGCCCAAGGCCTTGAAACTTGGGTTCCACACCATTGTCCTTTGGACACATGGCATGTGACACGTGACATATAAAGGGTTTAAGTTCATGGTTATCCTAGGGTAAACCACTATAGGATAAAGGGTGAAAACCACATGTATTACATTTGGTATTAAAGGATGAGTTTCAGTAAGTTTTACTTAATGAGATTAGGCAACTAGTCTCGTTGTATACATAGAGATGAAAATGACAATTTGAGTGGATACACGTTTGGTAGCTAAGACTTCGTAGTTGTTCCTTGGATATGGATTTTGGTTACCTTTTTGTACCGTAATATATAAGCTTGCTTTTGGGCTCATAAGATGGACAAAGATATAACATTTTGCATGAGTTTGTGCTTGGGCTTATGAGTGAGGCACATTAGCAACTCAAAGTTGAACTTTGAGTTAGTAGGAATAATATTAGCCTATTGGTAGTTTTCATGAGTTGTTCTTTGTACCATGGGTAAAAATAAACCTTCTCTGGGTTTGTTATGAGTGGCAAATAAGTTAGTCCATAGTTATTTAGCATGGCACTAGTGGATCCTTTCTATGCATGATTATGAGTGGATCAATCAAGATTGTAAGGATTAGTCTACTGGTTCAAATAATCATTACCATGCTCTCTCATAAACTTTTCTTGGATTGAACTAAAGGCAGTGCAAAAGCAAGATTGAAGTTTGGTCAAAGATGAGACTGAAAAGAGAGTCCTCAAGGACAAAGGATCAAACACATAAATTATTTTCTCTTTTTGGAAAGATGATTTGCAATGAGGTGTTAACTTATTACTTGTGTTCATATCATGCAATCAAGAGTCTTTACCTTGATGTGTGTCGATTATAATGGTCTTACAAATGGTGAGTTGTGGGATGGGTGAAGAGCTAACCCATTTTGTCTAGGCTTATTATTGAAGACGTGGGTTGCAATGCTTAATTCTTTTTTAGGGAACTTTGCTATTGTTCCTTGAGTAACTTGGTGTTGGATAAGTTTTGTGTTTGGTCGGAAAGAGAGTGGCATGAGCTTGTCAATATTGTGAACAAAAATTAGTGGTGGTAGGTGTTGTAAATCTTTATTAATGGGATGTGGTATTTATGTTGCATTTTATCAAATTGAGCTGGCACTTGATATTCACATAAACCTTTGAAGTAATGATATAGGTGTTGCTTGATTAATGATCAAATCATTGTGATTTTATATTATATTCATATGATAATGAGCAATGTGTTTACGAAGTTGTTTGGTTAAACAATGATCAACCCTAAAGTGGTTGATAGTGAAGATAGTCTACTTGCAATAAGTAGCATTGAAGTAGTTTTGACTTGGTTCTCAATGATGATCCATTATGCTAAGCTTGAGTTGGTACCTTGATTCCTTAAAATTTGTTTATAAGGTTTTGGAAAAAGGTTATAACGTTCATTTACTCAATATTTGCTAAATGATAACTTACCATATCTGCCAAACACCCTTGCTATCATGCACCTTGTGTTTTTCTTGTTCAATCCTAATTGCTATTTATAAAAAGTGTTTAAATTTGCTAATTTGGTATATCTATGGAATGTAGAGATTATTCTAAACACAATAGTATTCATTCCATGCCAAATTCACAATCTAGCACTATTCCATATTTAGTAAGTTTTAAATTAGTCCCAGAGACTAACTCTTAGTACTAAAGATGGCTAAAGGTGAAAGCCCAAAGCATGCATTCTTCAAGGGGGGGGAGGAGGGGGGTTATGGGAGGGGTTCTAAATATATAGTAAGGAGATATAGAGATAGCAAGCAGGTTGGGTATAACTGACTAACTTAAGGCATAGTTTAGCTCCCGATTGTGTGTTTATCCTAGTTCTATATTTGACTTGGGTCTAAACCTAAGTTCCACACCATGTTAGTGTAAGCAAATTAAATTTTCCATTCTACTTTAGTCACTTAACCATACCTCCAAGCATTTGGAAGAGTCTCACTCACAACCTCTATTAGTCCTATTCCGGAATTGGGGCTTAAGTCTCCACCCAAAAAATGGAATATGTTAATTTGGATAATGTTAACAATGTTGATATGTGTGACCAATCTCATCACACACCCAGTAATGGATATTATTATCACAATCACATCCTTGCCCTTGTCTTGGGCAATAGTAGTATTAACCTCAATTGGAATAGGATCATCTCCCATAAGAAGTGGAGCTGGAAAAGTGGAAGAGGTGATGACTTATAATGTTGTACCAAGGGAAAAGCATCATCAAGAGTGGTTAGAACAAGTGCATGCATAAATCTTTTAAGATTTTGACAAAGTGCTAACAACAATATTCCCAATATGATCCTTTCCAACATATTGAGCTCTGCACAAAATAAAAAGTTTTGGAAACAAATGCCAAATTGCATCACTAAATCAAATAGCCCTTGACGAAGATGATGCATTTGCTGAAAGATATTATTACAATCGTCAGCATGTCCAAATATATGTTTGATGACATCCAAGAAAGTACTCTAATTCGCATAAGTAGTTGTGCTCAAACTATTATACCATTGCAACTGTCCTTTGGAGACATGTGGGAAATTCACTCAAATGTTGAGGATCATCTCAACAATGATATGTGGCAATCACCATAATGTGATTGAACCAATGGTACTCATCATCCTTAGGATTCTCATGGAAGAACTTCTGCCAAATGCAAAGATTAGCAGCAAGAGCAGAAAGAATTGTACTATGTGCCATGAGTGTTGCCATCAATTGAATTTGATTATTCAACTACAACTGCATAGCATTAAACAATTACACTAACTATTACTCCAAAGTCAAAGGAGGAGGAAGTTGCTGCTCTGCCATGAAGATGAACGAAAAAAAAGGAAAAAAATAAAAGCGAAAAAATTGAAAAAGTTATAAAAAAGTGACATCTAAATAACGTAAAAGCTAGATCTAAACCAAAATCCCAAACCAAGCACTCTTCAAAGACAATTAAAATTGCCCTTCATTTCCACCAATGTGAGTGCATGAAATATGGAAAGGGAATATAGAAATGTATATATCAATTAACTCAAAAACCTAACTTATATATAGGAGCAAAAGGCTATCAAAATCCTACCATGCTAATTTTAATGTATAGTTATTAATATTAGCATATGGCATCATAGCTATACACTTTGAGCTCACAATTATAAAATTTGATTTTTAATTTATTTAAGCAAGGTAGTACCTTGAGTATGCTTAGATATTCTAGGATCTAACAATTTAGAATAATCTTGTATTTATAATTTATAAACATGTTTATCATAACTCTCCTAAATAGTACATTCTAGTTTATTCTATTATATAATGGTTGATATGTAATAAAATTAATTTTGTGTTATAATTATAAACATATTTATAATTTTAAACTTCTAATTGATCAGTGAGCAAACTAAATAGCTGTATGGAACACACAACAAATTATTACACCAACGTGACAGAGTCACAATTGGTTTGGGACCATTTAGCCCATGTTTTATAAGAGCACAACAGTCTCTCATCCACTATCATGATAGCAGCCAAATTATTCTTATTCATATAACATGGAGCCGAAAAAATCGTCACAAGCTTGCCATCTGCAAAGAACTCATATCCATCGTTCGCAACCTAGAAATTAACCACAAGATGAAAGGTAAAGGGTAGAAATATTCACGTACTTGATGAGCTCTGCATATAAGATCCAAACCGTGCTTGGCAGTAAACTCCTTCACAAGGTCTGGGCCAAACGTCATGCTGCATCCACGCAAACTATGGTTCCATCCGTTTCCCCACGTACATGGATCCGACCATAGCAAATCCGTCAATAGCCCACTCTCTGGAACGTCCACTGGCCTTGTAATATCTCTAATCTGGTCCAGGGAATCTAACTCCGGCGAGATGCCTCCATGCACGCACAGGATCTTCTTCCCGATCAACGCTCCAATGGGGAGGCACTTAAAGCATCGCTTAAAACACTTCCAAACATCCTCGCTCTTGTAGCGCCCCACGCACTCGTCATAGAAGCCAAATACTTTGTTGACCTGTGAGTCTTCGTGGTTTCCCCGCAGCAAGAAGAAGTTCTGTGGATACTTGACCTTGTACGCGAGCAGCAAACAAATGGTTTCTAGGCTTTGGTTGCCCCGATCGACGTAATCCCCCAGGAAGAGATAGTTTGATCTGGGAGGAAAGCCTCCAATGTTGAAGATCTTGAGCAAGTCCCTGTATTGCCCATGGATGTCACCTAAAATTTTAAGGTTTTACAAGATTCCACATGGTTAATTTAAACCTAAGATGGAACGTACCACACACGACGATGGGAGCGTTAAGCTCGAGCAGTGATGGCTCCGATAAAAAGATTTGTGCGGCACTGTCACATAAGTTCTCAATCTCCTGCTCAGTCATTGGGACTGGCTCGCCCGACCGTTTGAGAAGGCGAGTTATAAGATCGTCCAGAGCGTGCGATTCCACGAATATAAACCCTAAATTCTAGTGAAACAATCCTTCTATTTATTAGAACTAAAGAAGCTTAGGATACAAAGATTCCTATGATTAAACTCAAGGCTTTTTGCAATGCTAGCTAGCAACGCACATTCGCCGGTCCACATCACTCTCTTTTGTCTGTGGGGCAGGCCCCGTGACGTGGACCGTTGGATCGCGACGCGTGAACTCATTAGCCACCGTGGATATAGATGCATGGGCCCTGTATGGCATGGATGTATAGCTAGCTCGAATTTCGTACGCACGACGATTGGAGGCGCTCGTATGATTAGCCCGGACTGGCGAGTCAATGCCCGACACGTGGAAGAGTCGCGAGCGACTAGTCGCCGTGACTGTCGTGGTTAAGGACCCCAAACGCTTGCGCTCCAGTCGCGGTTGCGTGTTTAATTGTGCCAAAATATTTCGCTAGAGTTTTTCTTTCGATCGCGTGGGAAATCGCGAAACCCTGGGCGGAGTTTCTTCGCGATTCGTGGCGTCGAGGCAGGCGGAGGCGGCGATCGGCGGCGATGGCGAGCTAGGGATGTCGGATCGGGCGCCGTCTGGAAGCAGCATTTCTTGCGTGATTTGCAGCTAAGGTAAGCTAAGGAGAGTGCTCTTGCGGTAATCAGTCGCGTCGCGTCTTCCCTCCTCTCTCTCGCGCTCTCTCGCGCGCGCTGCAAGCAAGCATTCATGATGGGAGCTCTGCAAATCCCTGCTTAGCGATGTGAGGCAGCTAGAGCACTCCTCGCAAATCCATGCTTGCTCTAGCTCTGGTAATTTCTGTGAGCGGTGTCTCGTAAAGGAGGGCATTTTGGTGTTTAGTGCCTGCTCGTCCTGGCAAACGTCGCAGCGCGGAGCTCGTTTTATCCGCGCTCTAGGAAAGTGTTGCTGTCAAAAATCTCATTCCCGGCCTCTTTTTTCTATCCTCCCCGCGCGTACTTTTCTGGCTATGGTTGGTAACTCTGGGCTTGCCGAGGCAAATGCGGCGCAGTTCGTGAAGGAGATGGTGTAACAACACTCTCTCCTTTTTTTTTGCTCTTCCTGGTTTTTTTTTTGTTTTTTGTTTTTCCTGTGCTTTGAATCTTCAAAGGCTTGTTAGATCGTCTTAAGGCTTTTGCTCAATGCCTGTCTTGACGTGGTCTCGTCTTTGCTGTTTTGTTTGCGCAGGAGTAATTCCTTCGAGCCTCGTCTTGGATGCGTGTGGATCTGAAAGGGCATAAGGCTCACTGCTGCTGACCAGGTATTCACCTCTCGTTCTAGCTTCCAATTGGGGGAAAGTTCGGAAGCGAGATATATGGACTGCGTGATGCGCTCGCGGCCTCGAGATTGGATCTACAGGGTCAGTAGAAGCTAGAATTCACGGGACAGGGAAACAGGGACAGGAGTTTTTTCACAGCCATGGCGAGCCTCACTCCAGGGGTGCTGGTGAAGCTCTTGCAAAACATGAGCTCTGAGACCAAAGTCGCAGGGGAGTATCGCTCGGTTTTGCTGCAAGTCATTGGGATTGTTCCTGCGCTAGCCGGAGGAGAGCTTTGGCCGAATCACGGTTTCTACCTCAAGGTGTCAGACTCTTCACATGCAACTTATGTTTCGTTGGCCGAGGAGCATGACGATTTGATTCTCAGTGACAAGCTCCAGCTCGGCCAGTTTATACACGTTGATAGGCTTGAATACGGGTCTCCGGTTCCGCTGCTCAAGGGTGTGAGAGCTCTTCCGGGAAGGCATCAATGCGTTGGTACTCCTGAGGACCTCGTGGCTACAGTTATTCCCAACGTCAAGAGTGGACCGGCGAATTTAGTTCCCACCGTGGATGCCATCGAGAATGCCATGAACAGGAACGCTAAGAAGAAGTTTGATCCATTTTCTGCGGAAAGCGTTGCAGCCAAGTTTGCTGAGCGGGCTGTTATGGATAATCCGGGATCAAAACACTTGAGTAGAGTAGGGACGGCCGATAGTCTATCGAAATCACTGGACAGGGATGGGTTTCTGAAGAGCAATGACAGGCTATCTCGATCAGTTTCTTCTAAAGACAGAACGTCTTCTAGGTCCAAGCTCGACTTTGACGAGAGTTACACTGCTTCTACGCCTTCGAAATTATCTGCGAAATTATCTGTGACAGTAAAGGACAAAGCAGGTACAGGAACCAAGGCAAATTCAGACAAACTTCCAGGCCGAAATGTGGTTAGCTGTTCTGAAGATAGAAAAGTTCCTTACCACGAGCTTCCTCTGCCAAGGCCGACTTTATCTCCTGTCTCTACTCGAGCGTCTACAAAAGGTTTAAAAAAACTTAGCAGTTCACCGGAATCAAAGAAGAGGAGATCAGGGGTGTCACTAAAAATTGAAGTGTTTCCAGCTAGCACGAAAACGTTGCGTAAAAGCTGGGAGGGCGTGGTCAGATCAAAGGAAGGGAAGGCCAAGACATCGTCAAGATCTCCCGTATCAAAGAGTTCCGTGAGTATTTTGCATATTACAACATATTTCTAACATTCATCTGTCTGTTCACAGGTTTTAACTTCAGCAAAGCTCAAGCAGAAAAGCGAACCTCCGCCTCCAGTTCCAGCTCCAGCTCCCAGTCAGACTGATGGGGTGTCAACCCCCAGAAAGGGAAACAGAGTAGCTGCAAAATCCGGGCAGTCGACAAGGGAACCTGAGCCTGTTCAAAAGAGTCAGCCCGGTGAGAGCAATATCATAATCAATAGCAAGAAATGGACGGACGGAAGCGTTTCATGGGATTCCCTCCCTGCAAACCTGGCTGAGCTCGGAAAGGTTTGCGGATCCCTGTGTTCTTTTGAATGCGTGTTTACTCTTTTCGTTTTTATTATTTTCAGGAAGCTGTCCGCAGGCGTGATGCGGCTTCAGCTGCTGCATCGGAGGCTTTGCAAGAGGCATCCGTGGCGGAATGCGTGATCCGTAGCATCAGGTGAACAGTCGTCATCTTGTCATATTTTAGTTGGTCATTGATAACTTGAATGTGCAGTATGTTTGCAGAGTTATGTTCAACGTCAAAGCCACAACTCCCGCAACCATCAGTGGAGCAGTTTTTTGACTTCCATCAGAGACTTGGTCAGGCTTTTACGACTGCGCAAGCTCTAGCAGTCACAAAGAAAACAGAGACGGATCAAAATGAGGACTCGAGTAACACGGAGTCGAGCATCACTGCGTCGCCCGTCAGTGCTGCTGCCGCTATGTCGGAGGACGACGCCTCGCGAATTTCCAAAGAAAAAGCCAAAAATTCCTGCCAGTGGATCGCTACGGCATTGTCGACGGACTTGGCCGCATTCTCAGTTTCAAGCAAGCCGATAGGAAGCAAGACCGGGACAAAGAAGGATTCGTCCAAGACAGTCAAAGGCTCTAGCCAAGCTGTTCTAGTTCTCGATGGAGGCTTCAACGCAGCGTCCTCGCCACAGCCAGCTTCCAACAAAAAACAAGTCCCGGCAGAAAAGAGAAAAGGTGGCGATGGCTCAGAAGTCGCCGGAAGGCCTCCCTCGCCTTTGAGAGCTTCTACGACGAACCGAAAGAACGGTGGCAATGCAGCTGTTCCAGCAAGATCGACTCTAAAGTCAAGCACCAAGACAAGTAGCAACGAGCCATCGGTTCCCAAGCCGGCACCGGAGCCAGTGGCCATGGAATGGGTGAGAGGAAACGGTCTCAAGGACACTGCCGAGCTAGCGATGCAACTCCAGCTGGAAGCACAGAGCTGGTTCGTCAAGCACATAGAGGAAGCACTGGACAATGGTTTCCAAGCAAGCGGAGCTATGGACGCCGAGCAAGTAACCGGGGCTCAGCAGCAGCAGCAACAGCAGCAACTACACAACAGCCAGCTCGCGTTGATGCTCTCGCAACTCAAGAGAGTGAACGATTGGCTGGACGCTACAGGCAGCGGCAAAGGCGAGAGCTCGTTGGAGCCACAGTTTGTAGAAACGCTGGCGAGATTGAAGCGGAAGATCTACGAGTTCCTCCTCCAGCATGTCGAGTCGGCAGCGTCGGCTCTGGGCAGCCAGTCAGTGATGGTGTTCGTGAAAGACTCGTCGACGAGATAGAAGAAGCTCTTCGCTGGAAGACTCGAGCTCTTCTATATCTCGGTTGGATGGAAGACTCGAGCCTCTTTGGACGGGATGGAAGGCTCTTCGTCGAGATAAAAAGCTTTTCTTCTCCAGCTGGAAGGAAGGCTATGGTGGCCGAAAGAGAAGAATGGTTTGAAGCTGGCATTTGTTGTATCATTGGGAGGAAGCTGCGCTGGATCTAACTTCGCGGACAGGAACTAAGTTCCAGGAAGAAGAAATTTTCCAGGAAGAAAAAGGTGAGAACAAAGTTTACAGGAAGAACACAAAGTTTCCAGGCTTGGATTCCTCCCCTTGCAAAGTTACAAGGAATGTACAGTATTGATTTGTGTCGATTCCATTCTCTTGTCGTTTTATTTCTTCCTTAAGTGGACAACGACACAGGAGATATCATCCGAGCTATTCAACAAAACGGCCTGCGACGTCAGCTTCTCGGCGGCGTGCTTTGGATCTTTAATTTTCCGGATGTGATCCACCGCCTCCTGGTTCTTCATCACCTGCAGAGTATCGCAGCGAGCGTTTTTTCAAGAGATCATTTCCGCTCGGATTACCTTCCAGAGTCCGTCGCTCGCGAGTATCAGGAACTCGTCTTTCGGCTCGATGGCAACTTCCTTGATGTCTGGATCGGCGCTTAGATGGTCTTTAAGGTTCTTGTCCCCGAAAGCTCGAGCCACCGCAAGTTGGCCATCCACGCGAGGCACATCACCTGAAAAGAATTCATTGATTTCGCTTTGTCCTGAGAATGTGGAAGGTTTTGTGCTTACCTGGGAGTTTGAGGACAAATCCACCTTTGTTTTGGATGGTGTCTCGCTCGGCCGGTTGTCCGGGCTCGTGATCCACCGAGAGTTGCAAAGCCTCGCCTCCGCGGCTTAAAACCGCTCGAGAATCGCCTATGTTCGCGACGAGTAGCCGGGAGCCGTCTATCAGAATCGCTGTGACTGCTGTGGATCCTCCAATGCCCAAGTCTGTCGATTTCTCGAGGATGGTCTTGTCTGTTCTTTCGTAGGCATTTCGAATGGCACTGCTGGGATCGCTCCAGAATCCTGGCTATGGAAGTTTTCGCAAGTGAAATCCAGATTCAATCGCGAAACAAAGAAAACAAACTAAGAACGTACTTCGTTGAGAATGTTGTCAAAGAGGTTCTTCTGGAGATAAGCTGGAACGTTGTGTCCCAGATGCCCGTCGTAGATTGCAAACAATCCCAGGTCGTGTGTGTTGTCCCCTTCCTTGATCTCCTTGTAGTCGGCAACGAAGAAATCCTCCATGGGATGCGAGGATCTGCCCTTGAGACAGGCAGAGCCATAGGTAACCTCGCGCTCCTCCGAGGTCTTGGAAATCAAAATGAGAGATCGATCTTACCCTCAGTAGCAAATTTCTCGATCGAATCACTCACCTTAGTGCGAATCAATCGCCGGAGACACATTTCTAGCAGCTGCGGCAGCAGATCAATCCCTGGAGCTCGATCGATCGAAGAAAACCTCCCAATGAGCGAGCAAATAGGTCAAAATACATTGACCCCTCCCGGTGTATATAGGCACGAGAGTCTCGAATCACTAAAGCACACGTGGCGACCTCTGGGCTTGCCAGATTTCAGTCCATGCAGCCGCCACGTGTCCCGTCCATGCACCGCGAGCCACGTGCCACTTTTGCCCTTGAAACTTGCAAAGCTCTGGCTTCGCGAAATATTTTCTTTGTTTCTTCGTGTTCTTCTCAATCGTCGCGCCGTCGCCCTAATCGAGGAGGAGGAAGACGACGCTGGATTTCTAGGGTGACAGTGGCCCGGGGCATGGGATTCGCAACTGCCGGGCGCTTCCTATGACGTAGGGCGCGAAGGCATGGAGCGTCTATCGATCGTCGCGGCGTTTGTGGAGGATTTGGGGTTGAGGAGCTCCAAATCGCTCGAGGACGGGGTGTTTTACGGCTTGGCGGCGGCGTACGCACTACTCTGCATTGCTGCCCTTGTAAGTTAGTTGATTCTTGTAAGTTAGCTGTGTTTCCTATCGATTTTCTTCCTTTGTTTCTTTTAGATCCAACTCGTTAGAATACAAATCCGGGTGCCGGAGTATGGCTGGACAACGCAGAAAGTGTTCCATCTCCTCAATTTCTTTGTAAATGGAGGTGAAAAGTTTCATATTTTTTTCTCTCATCCTCTTGTTTTGATTCGTCTTCTTCGATCAGTTAGAGCTGCAGTCTTTCTATTCCGCCGGCAACTGCAGTACCTCAAGCCCGAGGTAAGACAAAACTTGGAATTCCCTGGAATTTTATCGTATAACTTAAAGAGTTTTTCCATGGGATTCTACAGATCTTACAGCCTATCCTGTTAGATCTTCCCGGCCTCCTATTCTTCACGACTTACGCTCTCCTGGTTTTGTTCTGGGCCGAGATATATCGCCAGGTTGGTGCTTCTTAATACTTTGATTTGTTCTTATCCGAGTAACGACGTTTTGTTGTTTGTTAGGCCAAGAATCTACCAGCAGAGAACTTGCGCCCGGTGTTTGTCGTTATCAATTGCATTGTTTATATCGTTCAGGTAATCGAATCATATCTTGCACTTAATTGAGAGAAGATCGCATTTCTCCCTTCGTGACAGCTACTCCTGTGGGTTATCTATTGGCTAAAGCCCGTCGAAGTTATCCTGACTATCTCCAAGCTCTTTTTCGCTGGTACTGTTTAACATCCAATGCGTTTTTCTCTGCTTGCCAATCTGACAGGAATTTGGATCGGATTGTTAGGTGTTTCCTTGCTGGCAGCGTTTGGGTTTCTAGTTTATGGTGGAAGGTGAAGTTTTCTTTTTTCCCATCTCGACGTTCCCCGATGTTTTTTGCAGGCTTTTTATGATGTTGCGGAGGTTTCCAATCGAGTCCAAAGGACGCCAAAAGAAACTTCACGAGGTACGATGCGATCGTAGTCTTTGCTGTATCGGGTATAAACTCCAGAGCCCTTTTCTCGCTTACAGGTTGGTGGAGTGACCGGCATCTGCTTCGCGTGCTTCACGATTCGCACGTTCATTGTAAGATTCCCCATCAAAACTCCTCTGACTCGCGCCAGAAAAATCTAACACTTTATTCGCTTACCAGCTTGCTTTCTCAACGTTTGAGAAGAACGCGGACCTGGATGTTTTATACCACCCCTTCCTCAACGTCCTCTACTATTCGGTAAGTCGATTTTTTTCTTCCCGGGATTTGCTCGATTGATGGATTCGATTCGATGACAAACTCTTTGCTTGGTTTTGTTCCTTCCAGCTAGTCGAGATCCTCCCGTCGGCATTGGTTCTCTTCATCCTTCGCAAACTTCCGCCAAAGCGACTAGGAGGAGGAAACCAGTATCACGCGATAGATAGACAAGAGAACGCTTAATCCGAGGAGGAGAGCGTTCTATTACTGTTAATCTTAGCTCCCGCCAATACCCAGGCAAAATAACGACGGCGATATTTACCGGACGCCGTAAGATTGGATGATGTTTAAACCGGGAGGGATGTTTAAAGTCGTTTGTTTTTAACCGCCGGGAATTAAGGGGCAAATGGCCGTACTGGTGGCGGGCCATTAATGATCTGGGCCACGTGGAACGTGCCGTACACCGAGCAAAGCGTGCCCTTCAACGTGACGGGCCGGAGCTGTCGAGGAAGAGGGTTTTTCATCTGTCCCCAAATATACGCTTTTCTAGCTGCGAAGATCTTGCGTTTTGGCCGGTTCTTGCCCTCGGCGCTAGCGCTACATTCTTCGATCGACTGGTGCTGCGCCGCTGCTGCGGCGATGGGATTGCTAGGAATGGAATGCGGGAGGAGCGTGGCGGAGATTCTCGTCTGAATCGAGGTATGAGTGCTCCAGGATCGTCGCGTCGATCGCTGGCCGCGGTATTCTTGGGGGCATTGACGCTCTGGATTGGCTCCGAGGCGAGCGAGCTCGGGATTTCGGCAGAGATTCGGGCAAGGATGGAAATATTTTGGATTTCGGGGATAGGTAGGCAGCTAGAATAAATGATCGCTGAGGGATGGACGCGATGAAGCAGCGGCAAGAGGCAGAGGCGAAGGCGAGGGACTCTATTGATTGCTCTGGCCGAGGCTGCGAATCGCTGGAGCTGCCCAAATGGTGCTTCAAGCGGGAAGAGGATGGCAAGGAGACGGTGTTGGAGCATATCATCTTGGACATGATGGGGAGCTCCGTGACAGTGGAGAACTTCGCGAATGCGGCTGTCCATCGCGCGTTTTGCCGCAAGAGGAGGCTGCTGGACCGCACCAACACCGTGCTCGTCTCTCGCCTCGCGATAATGGTACGTGGTTTATTTGATTCACTCTGTGCCTCTTTGACTATCTAACGCATCGGGAAACGCAGATTCTATTCGCCTTGATGCTCGTTTGCACCAGCCTCGTTACATGGTACTACACTTCCACCTATAGCAAGAAGGCTGTGAACCACGCGGCTTCGGTCTTGCGGCGTGAGCTACTCCAAAGCAGCTTGCAAACAACGTCGCTGATCCTAGGAGAGACTTACAACATGTCCTCTACTTTGAGCTCCCTTCACCAAAACGTTTTTCTCAGCAAGCGCAATTGGGCTTCGTCACAGGACGAGGTTCGTTCTATTCTTTGCTCTTCGGTTTGTTGCTGTAGCTCTCTTAACAGATCAGGAGAATCAATTGGGCTTTTCTATCAACCAGGCCGCAACTGAGCTCCGTCTCGTTTCTACACCGAGATGGTTATGCGGTTGATTATTCAAGAGTTAACAGATCGGAGTACTTGTTCTTCGCCAACGAGTCTTCCGCAGGGGTTCCTAAAGCATGGTACATGCAGGTATCTTTTCCGGTGCTCTAGTTTTACGCATGACGCTATTGCACTGCTTGTGTTCCAGAATCTGACTGGGTCAAAAACCGGAATAGGAAAGTTTCCCGCCGTAGAAAGCAATTCGACGCCTTATGTCATCAACCCTTCCATCATGCGCAAATTTCAAGCCAGCCAGGTCTCGGAGATCCTAATGTAGTATGCAAATCTAATGCGTGTGATTTTCTTTTCAGGCAAACTGGAGTATAGAACCGGGGGTTTTCGGTGAGCCAGTGATAGCTGCCGCAGCCTCGGTGTTGTCGGAAAGTAATGAATTTATCGGCGTCTCGGCAATCACAACATCCTTGAAAGAATTAACAAACTATTTATCTACAGTGGACCTGCTTGGAGGATTTCTTTACGTTGTCTGGTACGTGTTTTGACTTCCTTTCTCTCTGGAGCTCAATCTACTGAATTTCAGGAAAGACGAAAGAAATAATTCAAAAATCATAGCGATGTCGAGCGAAATGCAAGATACCGACATTTTATGCGATGCCAGAAATTCTTCCAATCCAACAATTGCTGCAGCTGCCACATTTTT